GAAAACTAGAGCCAATCAACAATTTTAAGCATCATTTTCGTTCTGAGTGACCCAGAATTAGTAAAGTTTGACTACATTTATTTCAGAAGCATTTTGGCTGTAGAGCAGTGTAACCTGAGTCATGTTGGCCAGTACTGAAATGAAGAAATCGCTGAGAGATCTGGACTCTGTTTCCTTCCAAGAAGGCGTGTACAGTATGTGCAGAAGGGTGTGAGGTGGCTGCTATTTTAGTTGTTGTGGTTGTGTTGTCAGTTTCAGCAAAATTCAGCTGCTTTTTATAAAGTAATAACCAACTACACTGGCATGACAGCACCAGGGCTAAGAAAAGTCCTGGGACTGGAAACAAAATAACCCCATGATGCACTTAGCGAACTTTTGAATGTTGCTATTTTTGCTGGTTTCTCTTCAACTCAAAATTGTACATTCAGGAAATGGTGACGGGCGGCTGCTGTTTGAACACTGTATCCCAGGGCTGTGTGTGCTGGGGACCGGCTGTGGGGTAGAGTAGCCGTCCTAGCTATTTCCTGACAAGAGTCATGTGCTTCTCCATACTGCACTCGCCCAGCCTGGCCTGTTCTCATGGGGTGTTTGCTGTATGATGCCAGAAGGCTGGTAGTAAAATTTAAGAAATGAAGGCCCTGATCCTGCAGAGACTTTTGCACATGCTTAACTTTACTCATCTTACTCAGCCTTTTTTCCTGGGGAAGCAAAGGAATACATTCCTCGTTCCTCACCCCCCACCGTCTCTAGCACCCACATCCCAGGGATACACGGGGGTTTTGCAGGCTAAAGGGGAAAATGTGTTAAAACAGCAGCAGCATATCCCCTCTGCAGGCTGTGAAATGCTTCCAGCAGGAGAATCTCACTAGTTCTGTGTTATGGTGCTGGGTTCTTCATTCTGCTCTAAGAGTCCAAAGTGAAATCCAGAGAACTCGGTGCCCAGTTCCTTATCTCTCAGCTGCCGCCCTTCCCTGCTTTTAATCTGTTCTTCGTGGTCAGGTGAGTGGTTTTGGTTCATTGCACCTGCCTTTGCACCAGGCCGGGGGCTGAATTTACTTAGCTGTAGTCTACAAGTTGTGTTGCTGTAGGAACCCAGCGGCAGTGCAAGCTCTGCATCTGCCTGGGGCCTGCTCCCATCATAGGCATCGACAAAACTCCCGTTTGACAGCAGTGGGTGCAGGATGGGGGCCTGACTTCTCACTGAATGGAGCCTAGAGGTGAGAGGAGGCTATGGACCTCCACCCCCAACCACCCAGAAAAAGCGTGAGATTCATTCCTTTGAGCAAATAGGAGCAGGTGGGAGCTCCTGCCCAAGTGTGGGAGCCTGGAGTTGTCACCATTTCATCTTTCAAAACCTACTGTGCTGTCTTCTCCTCCAAGCAGCTTCTGAGGATCTCACTGCTCTTCACAAACCTGATGGAATTTAGCCTACCACCACCCCTGTGAGGTAGGGAAGTGTTCTCTCTATTTTTCATGGTGGGAAATGAAGCCCAGAAAGGTCACTTTTGGCTGTCTTGGTCACCTTGGGCATAGCACCCGATCTCTTGATTCCCAGTGCTGGGCTTTACCCCCATGAGCATCCTTCGCTGCACTCCCATGGCCTGAAGGAATGTCTAGATCGCCAGTGCAACACCAGGATGACACTGATTCCTAGTGATTTCAAATTAGCTTCAGATGGACCCCGCTCCAGGCATTTCCCAAAGTCTGGCCATTGACATGTATCCACAGAAATGATTAGCCATGCCACTCAAGTGTGTTGACAACTGGCTGTGCGGTTCTTGTTTATTTAGAGATTAATAAAAAAAAGAAAAGACACCTCTGCAAAGGCTCTAGACACTTATAAATGTTACCACATAACATCTCCAGCTGCATTTAAAAGCAAACATTCAAACAGGAACAAAACAGTCAGCTCAGCAAACCCAACCTGGCTGTCCAGCTCGCCAACCGCAAACATTCCTTTGCACCCTTTATCGTTCTGGAACCAGACCCTCAATCCGCTCCACAGACCTTATCCAACAGGGGGCTTTTGCTGCATGCCCAGCAAGTCAAATTATAGCTCTTGTAACATAGAGGCATAGAAATGTAATGCTGGAAGAGACCTTGAGAAGTCATCAAGCCCAGCCCCCTGCCCCGAGACAGGAGCAAGTAAACCTAGACCATCCCTGACAGGTTTTTGTCCAACCCGTTCTTAAAAACTTCCAAGGCTGGGGATTCCACAGCCTTCCTTGGTAACCTATTCCACTAATTAATTATACGTACAGTTTCCTACTATCTAAGGTTATGTCTTCACTACCAGCCGGATCAGTGGGCAGTGATCGATCCAGCGGGGATTAATTTATCGTGTCTAGTCTAGACGTGATAAATCGATCCCCAAGTACTATCCCATCGACTCCTGTACTCCAGCTCGGTGAGAGGCACAGGCAGAGTCAATGGGGGAGCAGTGAAGACAGCACGGTAAGTCGATCTAAGTATGTCAACTTCAGCTACGTTATTCATGTAGCTGAAGTTGCGTAACTTAGATCGATTCCTCTCCCTCTTTCCCCCCCCCGCCCAGTGTAGACAGGCCTAACTTAAATTTCCCTTGCTCCAGATTAAGCCCATTTGCTTCTTGTCCTGCTTTCAGTGGACACGGAGAACAATTGATTTCTGTCCTTTTTATAACAGCCCTTAACATATTTGAAGTTTGGTTCCCCATCTGCTTTTTTTTTCTCGCGACTAACCACACCTAGTGGTTTTAACCTTTCCTCAGAGGTGAGATTTTTCTAAAACTTTTATCATTGTTGTAGCTCTTTGGACTCTCTCTAGCTTGTTCACCTCTTTCCTAAAGTGTGGCCCCCAGAACTGGACACAACGTCCGGCTCGGAGCTAACCAGTGCTAGGTAGAGTGGGACCATTATCTCTCGTGTCTTTCATACAACACTCCTGTTCCTGCACTCCAGAATGATATTGGTCTTGTGTCCAAATTCTTTAGATGTGTCCCACAGGGTATTTAGGATCAAAGACGAAGACGTCCAAAAAGAATGTCTGGGAATGGGCTCTCAATCTTTTCACTTCACCTATATAAAATGGGGGATTCCATGTGCCCTTCTTGTTCTAAGCCATTGTGCTAACATGGGATTGGGGGTAAAAAGATTCCATCACAATTACCTCCACGCTGACTGGGGGAATGAAGGACAAAGCTGTTTCCTTCTGCCTCGTCTTCCCATTGTTATTTCCACACCCTCATCTCCCCAAGCATCTGTTCCTCAGCCTTCCTGAGGCCCTGTTGCCCACATCACCTCCGGCCAAAGAGTTGTCTCATCATCCTGAGGTTCTGACCCCCAGAACCAAGGTCCTTTGCACCATGTGAGTTTTATGAGCAATTATGTGGCGCTGGAGCAGAGAGATGCCACAACGAGCACCAGAGGAATACCTCCAGCCCTTGAGGAACCGGAGCCACCAAGACTTTGTGCTGTTTCAAGCTGATGTCCAGGAAAGGAGAAGCACTTTGTAGTAGCTGTTGGCCCCCAGTACATTTCTGAAGACAAAATCGTGCTGAAAGTGGGACCTTCCTACCACATCTTGCTGCTGGCAGATTGCTCAGCAGAAGCAGGGCACAGGGAATGCCAGTCTGGAAGCTTTCATGGGACAGTAGGAAAATAAGGACGAACTGCTAAATATCCCGTGAGTAGGAATGGCTTCAGCCTGCAGCTTTTCTCCCACACTTTGCTTGATGACAGATCATGGGGGAATGGGGTGTGATTGCGCACATAGTGACGTAGGTGTCCTGCAGATCTGTGGCTGAGAAGTCCTGTGGGCCAGAAGAAACTGCTTTTCTCTGTCCTGAAACCTGAAAGAAGGACACCATGAATCAGAGAGAAGAAACGACAAGAAGAGGAGATGGAGTAACTTGGAGCAGGTCCAGGCAGGAGACGAGAACCTTGCAAACCACAGCTGATTCCTCCAGGTGACCCTTGGCTTTAATTAGGTTGTGCCTTGCTGAAGGGTTCACGAATTGCTACTATTGAACGGGGCTGGTTATTGGTAAGAAAGAGGAAGAAGGAAGGTTTTGCCCCTGAACTGGAGCAGATTCCCTTTTGGAACAGTGTCTTCCAGGCCTGGAAGTGAGGGAGTCTCAGAACGGGGGAGTACACCCTCCAGCAGCAGTGTGCTGGCACTGGGTTTTCTTCCTACCTGACTCATCTGCGGGATCATCCTTTCATAGTCAGACGCTGGATCGGCTGAGCTGGGCAGGTGCTCCTCATTCATATAGTTTGCCATTTGGCCAGTGACAGCAGGATCTGATGCACTGAAGGGAAGGTTGTGCCCAGGATTCTGAAACAGACATGGAAGGTGCTCAGAGCAAACAGGAAACTCTAAGGGACCCCTCTTACCAAAATGCCACACTGAGGAGCTAGAGGGGTGGAGTTGGCAGGAAGTGACTCCTTCCCTGTACTGCCCTAAGCTGCAGCCATGTTAAAAATGGCGCCCTTTCTGTCTGAGTCTAAATAATGATCCCTCCCCCTTCACACCGGTTAATCAGCAGGGCTGGGACTTTCCTGCTAAAAGCACTAGTCTCTCTAAGGTGAGTGTGACCCAAGGAACTCTGGTGTCAACTTCCCGGGGGG